TGATGACTAACTGCCTTCCTTCTAGCCTTACACTGCTAAATTAGGGACGGCTAGCGCAGATAGCCCTCGTGTAGCTTTGCGCGAAATTCCAAAACAAACAAACAAACTGTAAGTTATGTTTCTAATTTTTCACAATTTAATGTTTTAACTTCTGAAAGTCATCTCATTAGGTTATGGTAACTTGAGTTTATCTTTATCATTTTACAAACCTTCAGATGTTGTGTAATCTGTCTAAAACATTGCTTATTTAGTTTGTGATTATGAACTGGTTTTATTGCTGATTTTTAGAAAAAAGGTTTCTGTTTCTGGAGGTATTATAGAAGTTACAATTTATCTTTTTACTCATCACCTACAGAGAATGTTTTTACCTGGTGATGAACATTGCATTTATATTTTCCAGAACTAAACTAGAGAGAATCTAACAACAACAGGTACCACGAAAAGTACAGAGAATTATAATAGACTTTGTTATCATAATACAAATGATATTTTTTTTCTATTTTTCTGAATATCTTTTTATATTAGTAATTCAACTACAGATCCAAATTGAAGAAAGTACCATGTTATATTTTAATGGTGATTTTATCTAATAAAAACTAATTGAAAATTATCTTCTACATTTTGTCTTAATTGAGTAATACGTCTATAAAGCTTAGATATGAATATGTGTTCGCGCATTTTATATATCTTGCTACAACGCTAGAAACCGGGTTTCGATACCCGTAGTGGGCAGGGTACAGACAGCCTATTGTGCCTAACTGATAAACAACAACAACTGCTTTGATATAAATAAATACATTTATATCAGAAATATTTTACCTAGTTTTGACCGGTAGAGGGCAAAAAGCAGAAAGTAGGCTCTAATAGAGATTTTGTGAAAATGGAGAATATATTAAATTGTTTTTAAATAGGCTTGAGAAGAAGCTTGAGTTTAGAGTATAAGTAACTCAATTAATTAGTTTTTTCACATTTTGAAAAATCAACTCAAACTTTTAGCATCGCTCTTCCTTGAGTATGATTCAAATGATGTAAATTGAGAAACCTGACGTTCAGTGCTTCGGGAATGGGAATGTGATATTCATTTTGGGTGTCTCCCTGCAGTATTGGAGCTCTAAGGATTTGCATTTTATGTTGTTGTTTTTTTTTTTGAATGACGATAATAAAAAAATTGTGAAAGTTTTTCGGTTGGCTTATCTTCCAAACCAAAATATTGAGCTATTTACGCTTATCAATACATCTTTGTTAAAAGAGGATGTAGTAATACAATGAGATTTAACGAAACCACATCATGTTTCTGGGTGAACTAAAGACTTACATCAATGATATTAAAAGGATTTTTGGATAAACATAATTTCATGACATTTCGAGGCGTATAGCTTACGTAATGCGCCTGTAAAAATGTTTTCACCTTGTAAATACCTATTGTAATAATATTTCTATACATATATATATTTATTTGATTCCGATAAATGGATATGTAAAACTATTACGAGCCTCAAACAACCTAAAATAAAATTGAAAGCATCGAAACTTATATGTCAACAGAACTTTTTATAAATTCTAAAAGTTAACAGCAAAATTTTACTCAACTGGTGATTCAATGCATTCTTATCATCGTAGGTTATCGTTTTATTGTTTATTCATTTATTACAGGATCGGGCTCATTAATTATGATTTATTTTTAGTATTGGTCTATCTAATTGAATTAATTTTGATCAAAAGTGATAGGAACGGACATGACTAGCGTGGCGGACTCTAAATCCGATGGTCCATGGTTCGTTTCGTACCGTTGCCAAAAAATAAAAACAAAAAATCGCGCTCTGCTCTATAGTAGATATGAACGAAAAATCTTACTTTTCGGCAGGACAAAGTCACAAGACCACAAGGCGTGGAAAAATAATGAAAGTGTTCAAAATCGGCAAAACACATCTATATGATAATAAAGTTTTTGTTGTAGACGTGTGTTTTACCGATTTTGAACACTTTTTTTCAACCCAAGATTAGGCGATGGGTCCTATTGACTATCTTACTTCCATCTAGCTTATCAGTTCAAAATAAAGACCGGATATGATAGATAGCCTTTGTGTAGCTTTGTGCTTAATAACAAACAACAGTTCAAAATAAAGACCGGATATGAGAGGTACCCTCTGTGTAGCTTTGTGCTCAATAACAAACAACAACAGTTCAAAATAAAGACCGGATATGAGAGGTAGCCTTTGTGCTTAATAACAAACAACAACAGTTCAAAATAAAAACCGGATATGAGATGTAGCCTTTGTGTAGCTTTGTGCTTAATAACAAACAACAATCAGTTCAAAATAAAGACCGGATATGAGAGGTAGCCTTTGTGGAGCTTTGTGCTTAATAACAAACAACAATCAGTTCAAAATAAAGACCGGATATGAGAGGTAGCCTTTGTGTAGCTTTGTGCTCAATAACAAACAACAACAGTTCAAAATAAAGACCGGATATGACAGGTAGCCTTTGTGTAGCTTTGTGCTCAATAACAAACAACAACAGTTTAAAATAAAGACCGGATATGAGAGGTAGCATTTGTGTAGCTTTGTGCTCAATAATAAACAACAAAAGTTTAAAATAAAGACCGGATATGAGAGGTAGCATTTGTGTAGCTTTGTGCTCAATAATAAACAACAAAAGTTCAAAATAAAGACTGGATACAAGAGATAGCTTCACGCGACATAAACAATCAATAGTGATTAATAATTAAATATTTTTCAATAGAATATTTTATTTAAATTTACATTTGCATCATGGGATAGCGCTATATTATAAACATTGTACTCTGTGGTTTAATAGTAGCCTCTATATAAACCTAATTGTATACTCTATGGTTTAATAGTAGTCTCTATATAAACCTAATTGTACATGCAGCTTCAACATTAAAAGGTATTTTATTCTAAATACAGAGTACAATAAAAATTTCTAAATAAAATTAATAAAACGTAAAATTAACGTTTTTTACTTGCACAATAATTTATTTGTAAAGTTTAAAAGTATAAGTTAAAAGAAACTTTAAAAACTCTACATGTTTCGGTGGAAATAATTATTGTGTAAGTAAAAAAAAATGTTGATGTGTCGTTTTGTTAATTTTATTTAAAAATTTTAGCACATGATCTGTCTGCTTTAAGTATTAAAAATTACCTATTCGTTATATCTAAACTCAAGTCTTTATTGTTTAAAAAAGACAACTTCTCAAGCAGTCAGGTGTTGTAGTTCAGTCACGTAGAAAGGAATGGTGAGGCTGGAAGTTAGTTCGAGTAAGGAAAGAGTAGGCCTAGGAAAACGGTATTTCTTGACGAAGAACGATACCTATATATGTAAATACTGCATTAGTCCATCACGTGCAATTGATATTTGAGAATTTAATGCTTTTTTGACCCTCGAGTAACGGGTTTAAAGGATACATATGTGACGTTTATATAATACTAACACTTACCTTGTACGGGTATGTACGGTTACGGATGTCACGCCGGAGATGTTTCTGGCGTCTAGTTGTTACGTTCCTGAAATCAGCTGATACTTCATAAACTTTAATGCACGGTAATTTTGTGCTTTGTGATTTACTAAGGGCAATTATCAAATCATTATTTAAAATAAAGAAACCTAAAGTAAAATAATTTATTAGACATTGAAAGTGTACGTTGTTTAGGATGCGGATAACACGTAGAGTTGCAGGATGATATGCATTTAGAGCAATAAGACGAAGAATCTCAGCTGAACAAATAAGCGGATAGGATATAAACCCTCTAATGCCAGTCCAGCGTTCTATATTACCACGTGACTGAACTAGCTAACCAGGAAACATCGCATTCTGTAGGCGTTGTGGCTAAGACTTAGTTCTCTCGCATCAATGACGACTGAGCATGCGTTTTGTTATTGCCAAGTTGGAAAAAAATACATTTCCTGGTACAATCCCATTACATTGGTTGTGTTTCGTAGACGCTAGTGCTACTTGTTGTTACGTGCCCCAAGAAATAACCAATGTGAAAAGAAAAGTGAATTAGACA